AAGTTTGTGTCTGCACCCATGGCCACATATGTCATGTGCCTGTGGATGAACAGTATTTTTGAATTTGTTCACATGTTGGTGGGTGTGAGTGCTTGACTGTGAATTTAAGGACAGGGGAAAAGAAAAGTAGAGAGAATGTGACAAGATGAAAGGAAAGCATTTGGCTTTTTCATGGACTGAAGAAGAGAATAAGATGGAGTATTATATACTGTAGCAGATTTTTACTGACAGGGCCAAAACTCATTCTGTCTGTCTGAGGTAGTGTCTTTGTCTTGCTCCCAACCCTTGGATCCACACTGCACATTCAGTTAGCAGTCGGACTAAGACATTGATAAAAAACTGAATTATGAATTCAATATAAAACTGTAATCACACATCTAGAGATCTGCTAATATATTTCCCACCTTTGTTTCCTTACAAAACTAACTTTGCTTCATCACAGATAAACAAATGCTTATGGGTGAAACAACATTTTGTCAGTGAACCCAGCTAAGGCTGCACAATTCTCAAAATCTGTTATTTTTATTCTCCTCGCATGCTGAAAAAACTCAGAAGAAGGCATGTGGATGTAGTTTTAGGTACAAGATGTTTCACCTCTCATCCAAGAGGCTTCATCAGTTCTGTCTGATTGGTGGTATTTATCCCACTGGGTGGTGTTCCAGTCCTTCAATGGTCAAACAATGTCCTCTAATGACCGAGTCGTTAGGGTCTGGTATCAGTTTGCCTGTCCAAAGAATGTCCTTTGTCCTTCAGGTGGAGGTGGACTGCTGATTCTGGTCCAGTGGAGTTGGCCCTCCTGTGTTGGGCCATGCGTTTGTGCAACGGCTGTTTTGTTTCCCCAGTGTACAGGTCATTACACTCCTGACTACATTTAATTGCATACACCACATCACTGTTTGTGTTTGGGTGTTTTGTCCTGATGAAGCCTCTTGGATGAGAGGTGAAATGTCTTCTACCTAAAACTATGTCCAGATGCCTTCTTCTAAGTTTTTTCTGCATACTTTGACATGGATGACTGAGAATTTGCACAGACATTCTCTTTGCATGTTTTCCTTGAATGTTTTCCACACATCTTACTCCAGGGGCGTCAAGCTCAATCGCACAGGG